GCTCCGCGGGAGAAAGATGAGGCTTTCTACTCCCGTAAAGATTTACACCCTCGGAAACCCTATACTGGGTCGCTATGGGTCGGAACTGACTCGATGGCACTTAACAACAACAACAACAAATTTAGGTCTAAGCGTTCAGATGTCAATTTTTCTTGAGTACTTCATGCACCTCTGACAGATGAACTGCCAGAATTAAAAGTAAAGTATATTTTAAAGTGGGTGTTGGGCCACTTCCCCCAGTCAACCTTCACAGGCACATTCCTGGACATACCCTTTTATGGTAGCCTGGTTGTGATGACATACTCCAAGAGTGCCCTCCCCGCTCTCTCACGTAAGTCTAGCATTTGTATGTGACACATGGCTGCTGCCATCTATTGTGGTTGTGAGAGGAGATTCCTTTGTTTTCTGCACCCTATAAAAGGTCGCCACTTGGAGACAGAACTCTGAAAACTCATCATGGAGTCTTCAATGACGTCCCTCACTTGGAGATCTGTTTGTCTTTGTCTTGTTTCTACTCCTCTTTAAGACTTAGTAAAGAGTCTCTACAATATTTATATATTTGAAGATGGAGTATCTTTTCTCCCCTATAACACAATCAATCCTTTCCTTTTACATCCTTATCAACATGTTGCAAAGACTAGTATATAATCTCTTTGAAGTATTACAATTTTCACAGTTTCCAAGTAGAGGTCCCTGTAATCCTTATTGAGTTGTCATATATTAGAAAAACAAGGATTTTCTTTTTCTTTATTTCATTTGGTCATTATGAGATCTTGAAATAATTCACAGTAATTTCACCATGTTGTGCCTTTCAATCTTTAAAGGATCACACACAAAAACAAATGCCTGAATTCAAAAGCTGAATAATGTTATGAATAGGAAAACTGGAAAAGAGAGCTAGCAGCAAAATCACCACAAAATCAGAGTCCCAGAGAAGTCCAATTCGATCCTAAGGAAATATGGCAACTGCTGAATGTAAACCTATAACTCCTAAAATTTCCTTTTATTACCTGCAAATTTCTTTCCTTTTGGCTAGATTTTCTTACTATAGTAAGAATGATTATTTCAGAGTATTTAAAAGTACTCAGAAATCTTAGCATTTTAAGTAAAACAATTTACTTTATCACACACAGTGGGACTAAATCCCAGGTGTTCAAAATTATAGACAAAAATCAAGCTCTTTGTAGTTTCTTGTAGAAAACTTGTAATTCCTGTTTTTCGGTAACATAACTGTTATTATTTAGACAATGGTCAGCAGCAGTCAGTGAAGTAGGTGAAAGGTTACATTGATATTGCTGTTAAGTACCCTTGGGTCAGTTCCACCTGATAGCCACCTGATAGCTGGAGTGTTTGAATCCCTGACCTCCACCTGACCTCGAAGTTAGTGCTTATCCTACACCAGGATTCCATTACCATAAGGGTGAAGAGTTAGCATAGTTATGGTACGTGCTTATATGTTAATTAGATATCATTACTTTTGCACCTGCACATGCTTACAATAGTCATATATGCTTTGGTTATGACTGAGGCTAACCTCAAGGTCAGCAGTGTGAAACTACCAGCTGTTCTGCGGGAGAAAGATGAGGCTTCTGCTCCCGTAAATATTTATATCTTCAGAAATCCTATGCAGGGTCGCTATGGGTTGGAACCGAATCCACAGCACACCACCACCACCAAATTTGTGATGATGTCACCTCCTTAACTCAACAAACCATTAAAAGTAGCAAGTTGCTACAAGAAAACAGGCAGCATTGAGGTCAGACATTTCTGTCTTCTTTTGTGCGTAAAGAGAATAAAGCTCTCTTTTCCCCTCACCTCAATTGTAACTTCTAATTGGGGAAGGTTGTGAGATGAATTGACCTGCTTTCAAGTTTTCAAATATGGAATATCAAAATATGGAATACAAAAACCAAAGCAATCAGAAGGGTGAAGAGGGATGAAAACACTGCAATCCACAGATACACCCAGAACCGACTCCACAGCCTTTCATAGCAACATACAACTGTTTCAGTTCGGAAAGTAAAATCCCTAGATCCTAGATGAAGAAGAAAATGCCCAGTGGAACTTACCACAGTAGTGTGCAAAACTTGCTCATGATTTGCAAGTTATTTTAATTAGCATCATTATACTGACCTGAATTTCCTCCCAGATGTCCTCATCCAATAAGGTAGCTGCTCTATGGTGCTGCAAAGGGACTATAAGGCAGTGGCCCTCAGTAAGTGACCGAAAGTTGGGTAAACACAAATAAACCTAAAAGAAAAAAAAACACCAATTGAAATGTTATTGCTCTTTTCATTAGTCCCTAGTAGGGAAAAATGGCTCGCATGTAATCGAGTGTAATTGCTTAAAAAAGGAATCCTGATAGTGTAGTGCATTACGAACTGGGCTGCTAACCACAAACTCAGGAGTTCGAAGCTACCAGTCACTCTGAGGAAGAAAGATAGAATAGTGGTTACGAGTTGGACTGCCAACCTCAAGGTCAGCAGTTTGAAACTACCAACAGTTACGTGGGAGAAAGATGAGGCGTTCTGTTCCCATAAAGATTTACAGCCTCGGAAACCCTGTGAAGGGTGGCTATGAATAGGAACCAATTCCATGGTACTTAACAACAACAACAACAACAAAGATTTACAGCCTTAGAAACCCTACACAGGGTCACTATGAGTTGGAACTAACTCCATGGCACACAACCACCATCACTACTGGCTTATAAACAACATTTTCATTTAAAAAATTTTAAAGATATTATCAGGATGGTTTTCAATAAACTAGAAGTTTAGAACAGACGTGTCCATTTTCAGGGTTATATAACCAAGGTCAAGCTTAACCAAAGGCAGAATGAAGGGCACTTTATCCATGTTGGAAGAAGTCCTTAAAACGTCACAGTTTTCTCAAAAGTAAACAATACACAACTTGGTAATGGCAGCCAAACCATAAATTATTAGATGCCCACACATTGATATCTCATGCAAGTAAAGTTTTACTAAAGGTAATATAGAAATGGCTGCAAGCATACACTGACAGAGAACTTCCAGAGGTTCAAGCTTGATTCAGAAGAGGACGTGGAATGAGGGATATCATTGCTGATGACTGATGGATCTTGGCTGAAAGCAGAGAGTACCAGAAAGATGTTTAACCTGTGCTTTATTGACTACACAAAGGCTTTTGATTGTGTGGATCATGACAAGCTATGGACAACATTGCAAAGTATGAGTATTCCAGAACACTTAATTGTGCTCATGAGGAATCTGTACCTGGACCAAGAAGAAGTTGTTCAAACAGAACATGGGACCACTGAATGGTTTAAAATTAAGAAAGTTGTGTGGCAGGGTTGTATTCTTTCACCATACTTATTCAACCTGTATGCTGAGCAAATAATCCGAGAAGCTGGGTTCTATGAAGAAAAACGTGGCATCAAGACTGGAGGAAGTCTCATTCACAACCTGTGATATGCCAATGATACAACCTTGCTTGCCTAAAGTGAAGAGGATTTAAAATACTTACTGATGAAGATCAAAGAGCACGGCCTTCGGTATGGACTGCATTTCAATGTAAAGAAAACAAAAATCCTCACCACTGGACCAATAAACAACATTCTAATCAACTAAGAAAAGATTGAAGTTATCAAGGACTTCATTCTTCTTGGATCAACTATCAACACTCATGGAAGCAGCAGTCAAGAAATCAAAGGACATATTGCATTAGGCAAATCTGCTACACAAAAAAGACCCTTTTAAAGCATTGAAGACCAAAGATGTCAGCTTGAGGACTAAGGTGGGCCTGACCAAAGCAATGGTATTTTCAATAACCTCATATGGATGCAAAAGCTGGACAGTGAATAAGGAAAATCACAGAAGAATTGATGCCTTTGAGTTGTGGTGTTGGAGGAGAATACTGAAAGTGCCATGGGCTGCCAAAAGAACCAATAGATCTGTGTTGGAAGGAGTACAGTCAGATGTACTTGGAGGCCAGGATGGCCAAACATCGTCTCTCATACTTTGGACACATTGTCAGGAGAGACCAATCACTAGAGAAGGATATCATATTTGGTAAGTGGAGGGTCAGAGAAAAAGAGGAAGACCCCCAGAGAAATGGATTGGCAAAGTGGTAGCATCAATGGGCTCAAGCGTGGCAACAATTGTGAGGTTGATTGGGCTGTGTTTCATTCTGTTGTACACAGGGTGGCTATGAGTTGGTATAGACTTGATGGCACCTAACAACAACAACAACAACAACACATTGTACTGGTGTGGTACTGCAGGATAAGCATTGGGATACTAAACCACAAGTTCAGCAGTTCAAACCATCAGCTGCTCCTCGGAAACACTATACAGGGTTGCTATGAGTCAAAACTGACTTAATGGCAATTAACAATAAATTGTAAGGATCCCTAGTGGTAAGGAAGTTTAAGTGTTGGGCTACTAACCAAAATGTTGGCGGTTTGAGCCCACCAGCAGCTCTGTGGGTGAAAGAAAAGGGAGTCTGCTTCCTTAAAGAGTTACAGCCTCAGAAACACTATGGAGCAGTTCTACTATAGGATTACTATAGTCAGAAGTCCTATAGGGTTACTAGAAGTCAGAATTCACTCAATGGGCACTGGGTAGGTGGATCTCTTATTAGCTAAGGCAAGAAAATGAAGTAAGCTAAGGAGAGAAAGCATCCTCAGGACAGCTTTACTGCACTCATCAGGTTCGATTTACATAGATGTATTACCTGAAACAAGGAGCTCTGATAGCGTAGTGGTTACGAGTCGGAATGCCAACTTCAAGGTCAGCAGTTCCACACTACCAGCCCTTCAGCGGGAGAAAAATGAGTGTTTCTGCTCCCATAAAGATTTACAGCCTCAGAGACCCCATATACAGGGTTGCTATTAGTCAGAACCAACTCCACGGCACACTGCCACTACCACCATCACCATTACCTGAAGTGGCGCTGTAGGATACACACTGGATCGTTAACTGCAAGGTCAGAATTTTAAATCCACCAGTCACTCCCTGGGAACTCTATACAGATCCGCTATGAGTTAGAACAGACTTGACAGCACCTAACAACAGAATTCATTAAAAGCTGATGATACTTGTCCATTGTACGCACGTTGTCTTTTTAAAAAATCTTAGAGGTCAATTAGTAAGTACACAAAGAGCACAAGGTTTCATGAGGAGCATAAATTAGATTCTGCAAAGGGATTATTCTATCTGATTTTCTATTATTTCTTGTTAGGTTTTAGCTAGAAATATTTTGCCTAGCAAAAAAACCTTAATTGATTAATTTTTTTAAATATTTAAGTAGAAATGTGGATTTTTAACGTAAATTTACAGTAAAATAATAACCACATTCACAATGTAGGAAAAAAGACTAAGAGGCATAGGTAAATCTGCAGGCAACTAATTAGACTTAGAAAACAAAATCTATTGACAGAAGTAACTAAGCTTTCTACATGATTATTGTGAAAATCAGCCAGTTACAAGCATCAACCATAGGTATGGTGATTTGCAACAAAGTCAAGTTAAAAAGCATTCTAAACATTACAAAAATCACCTAAAACCGGTAAGAAAAATCATTTTCTTCAAACATATACAAACATGTTGTTGTTGTTAAGTGCTATTGAGTCAGTTCCAACTCATACAACTCTGTATAGGGTTTTCTAGACTTTAAATCTTTTGCAGGATTAGAAAGTCTCATCTTTCTTCTGAGGAGCAAGCTGGTGGACTCAAACTGTTGAACATGTGGTCCTGTGCTTATCATATGGAGCCACCGCGCTCTCCATATATAAACATATAAGGGGGAAAATATAAAACACCAAAAAGAGTAAATTGGAACACAACAAAATTAATCCTTTGGCAGGGCAGCGGATTCCTGCACATGGCTTTTCTACCCATAGTCCTTGTAACTTCCACCAAACAGCTTTTTCCAACTGGGTCTGAGTAAGAAAATGTGGGAGAAGACACTGACAAGATGATAGGATGATAGGATTCATAACCACAATTAATTGTGGTTATGAATACTAGGAACTCTAATGTGGCTTTAAAAGGCACAGGAGAAGGGATCTTAATAGCATCAAGAAGAATGAGCAGGAGTAGACCATGTCCTTTGGACCCCGAGATCCCTATCCTCTGAACCTCCTCCACTCAGGGACAGAGAGCTGTCACTGGAGGAGCAGAAGAGCAGCAGCAGCAGAAAAACCAAGATCCAGAACACGAGACAGAGTGGTGGCCTTCCCAGACCACAGGGCAATAAAGAAGAATGACTGTGGGCAGGAGGCTTGTTTACAAAATGGGTGCCACCAGGCATTTACTTGGGGGAACTAGGTTTGCTGACCCATGGACCTATAGCAGCTGAGTGCCTTCAGGCAGAGGCTAATAGTGGAGTGGAGTGTCCTGTGGGCCTGTGTCTGCTTGGCATTGCCCAAGCAGAGAGAGGCCAGCCTATAGGCACAGCTGAGGAAAGGCTGTCCTAACTGGAAGAACTGTGCCCTAAACTGTAACCTGTAAACTTTCCTAATAAACGCCGTAACTCTGAGTATGGCATCTGTGTGGTCACTGCAGTGAATTATTGAATCTAGCAGAGAAGTAGAGAGTGATGCAGGAGGGACAGGTGGTGCCACATTGTAACACCTTTTTTTAATTTACAAGAAGAGCAGAGCTATCCATTCACCAATCAATAATTAATTGCTTAGAGCCCCAGGGGACGGATTAACACAGTGGCTGTAATAGTGGGCTCAGACATAACCACTGTGAGGATGGCACAGTACTGGCAGGGTTTTGTTCTGTGGTACATGGGGTTGCTATGAGTCACAACCAACTTGACAGCACCTAATAACAACATATAAGCCAAGAAGAAGCCCAGGTGACACTTTGGGATAAGCACTGGATTGATAACTTCAAGGTCAGTGGTTCAAACCCACCAGATGCTCCAAGGGAGAAAAATGAGGCTATCTGTGTCTGTAAAGATTCATAGACTCAGAAATCCTATGGAGCAGTTCTACTCTGTCGTCTAGGGTCACTAAACATTAGAATCAACTTAATGGCATCAAGTTTGGTATTTTGGAATATATGCCAGGCACTATTCTAACGTGTTAGTGCTAGGGAAACAACAATGAACAGAGACAAAAATCCCTACTCTAAAGGGACAAGAAAAACAAGTAAATATATAATATACTAAATGGTGAGAAGAATGAAAAAAAAAAAAAAAAAGTGAAGCATGAAAAGAATACCGATAGTGTCCATGGAAAGTTAGGGATTAAAATCACCAATAGTGGATGAGACACCTAAGAAATAAGTAAATCAAGGAAAATTCAATCAAGTTCTTTAAATTATGAGATATTCTATGAAGAATAAAGCAGGGTTCTATGACAAAAGTAGGAGCCCTGGTGTGGTGCTGTAGGATAAGCACTGGAATGCAAGGTCGGCTTGAACCACAAGGATGGCAGTTCAAAATCACCACTTAAAAACAACAATAATGACAAAATAGGGAAAGCTACTTTAGTCTGAGTCTCTCTGAGGTGATTTTAAGGCCAAATAAAATGTCAATCATGAAAATAAGGTCACACAGCAGGTAAACTGGCATAGCTAGAATTTAAATCTAGGTATCTGGCTCTAACGTCCATGACCTTAACTGCTCCAAATGCTATCTTTCTAAAGAGTAGAATCACACAAGGTATCAGCTTCAAGTCATTTAAATAAGTCACTCTAAAAATGCTAAAAATCATGGAAACTTGAAAAACAAAAATACTGAAAACAGAAGAAGATTCCTCAAGAATCGTTGAAGAGCATGAAAAGGCAAATCTACATATCCTAAGACATAGTTCTCTTAGGTCAATAAATGTTATATTTATTACCTTAACACCTATTGCAGCAATAAGGTGCTTAGGAAACTGAGCACTGTCAAAACAATACAGACAATTTTCCATTTGTGCAGCAAGACTCCGATGCTCGGCAATAGCTTTTTTCCTCTGGTTCTCTTCGTCTTCACCAAGACGTTTTCTCTCAGCTGCTTTAGAGACAAACATGTCATCCAGAGTGTAATAGTCTCCATCTGTTTTCCCCATAAACTGGAAAAGCAAAAACCAAAATAGTCAAGGGTAGTAGTTTAGATTTTATTGCACGGTTGCACCCTGAAATTACATCTCTACGTTCTATGATAAAGTCTTACATTAAAATGAAAGAAAATTCAAATTGAAGTTTTAATCTTCAAGGGTTAATCAATCATCATCATAATCATCATAGCTAAAGCTTACTAAGCTTTACTATATGCAATTATATGCAATTGATTATCTTATACTCCTGTGAGGCAGGGACCATTATCATTTCCATTTTGTTGACAAGGGAACTGAACCAGAGTGGTTAAGTAACAATTTTTACTTTGAAAATTAATATATGACATATATAGAACATAAAACACTTTTCAATTATATCTCCAGGTACCTTACACACACCTCCCCAACATAACTTGTGGACCGATTAATGCTTTTAAAACACAAAACAGAAGTTATTTTATTTATATCTTTGCTTAAAATCCTCAAAGAGTTCTATGTTGTCCATAGGATCAAGTTCAAACTCGTGTTTGAGATACTAATCATAGACAAGGGAAAGAATAAAATTTAAAAGCTTGGGTTCTAGAGCCAGAATGACCAGAGTCAGATTCTACTTCCATCATAAATCGTATAGTTATTTAAACTCTCTGTACACTTTCAATTCCTATTTCCTCATTTTACAATGGTTATAACCACATTATCTATAGAATTGTATAACTGAATCCTAAAAAAAAATGCCTGGCACACAGTAAGGACTCAATAAACGTGAGTCACCATTGTCATTACAAGTTTCTTCATGATCTGCCTTCCATGACCTCTCCAGACCCGTGTTGTCACAGTTATACTCAAACTCCACAATACTTTCCAACTCTGTACATACTGCTCTGATTCTGTCCTCACTTTTGCCACTCCACACCTACTCAATTTTCCAATCCCAGGCTTGATTTTGCTGTCACTTCCTAGAGTTTCCAAGTCACTGCAATGCATATCTGCACTTGTATCAATCCTACAATGACCACACTGTATCTTCATTGTTCAACATGCTGTCTGTACACTTTCTTCCATTAGACTAAGTCCTCTGAAAACAAGAGCTACTTTTTATTATCAAATATAATAGTAAGATATCTGGATCTTAGTGTTGTTGTTATTGTTAGATGCAGAAGGAGAAGTGGCTCTATTAATGGCAGACAAAGTAGATTTCAGAGCCAAGGATACTATGAGGGAAAAAGTTATTTCATAATAATAAAGGAGTTTTACCATCAAGATGGCATAGTAATCCTAAAAAAGTCTAAAAATACATGAAGAAAAAATAAAATACATGAAGCAAAAATTGATAAAATTTCTAGGAGAAACAGACAACTCCACAATTGTAGTCAGAGATTAAACATCCATCTCTCAATAACTGATAGTAGACAGAAACGGAATATATACCCAATTCACAAGAAAAAAAAAAAAAAAGAAAGAAACTAGAAAGTTAAAACACACAACAGTAGGTACATGTGGAGTACGGGGAGTATTTGCCAAGACAAACCACATTCTGTTGTAAAATAAGTCTCAATAAATGTAAATGGATTCAATTCACATAAAATTTGTTTTCTAAACACAAATGGAAATAATTTACAAATTATTAAAAGAACAATCTTTGGAAAATCTCCAAGTAGAAACCAAATAACATACTTCTAAATAACCCAAAGATCAAAATGAAACATAAATGAAAAAAGTACAAATGAAACCCAATATAAACAGAAGAAAATTTCTAAAATGCCATTCTTGGGACAATCAGGTTAAAAGATTATTAGCAGTAAGTCATTTCTTATAGTATAGTAGCTTCTTTGTCCACAATGAGAATTTTTATCTTCCACATTTTCTCCCTATTAATCATTACATACCTCTCTGTTGCTCTGAGTTGTTTTTTTTTTCTCTCTGAAAGACCCCATCTTAAAAATTAATTTAACTTGAGACCCTCACTGCAACCATGATTCAGTACATTTTGAAAAATACCAGAACTGTTCACTAATCATTTTCATAGTAATAGTGACCAACTGTGTGTAAGACAGTGATTGACTATCCCTAAAAGACAGCAACTGTCAATATTACTTGACATATTAAAAAAGAAAACCAAAAAAATGAGGTTCAGAGAGACCAACTTTATCAAAGTTACACAACTATTGAGAGAAAGAACCAGAAACCAAAGCCAGGTCTGTCTGACAATAAAACTGAAACATACTTGGCACAAAGTAAGCCCTCTCTCCCTTTAGAAACCCACCTTCAAATATCGACAAAGTATATTTTAAATAGTCTATGAAGTAGAACAAAGATAAGAAAACTTAAACTTTATCCACAATAAACATACCTAATCAAGTTAAGGTACTTATCATAGATAACATAAATAGTTATTTAACCTATCTAAAATATATTAGAAGTAGAATATGTACTTGTATATATATAGAATTACCTTCCTATGATACAGCCCATTGTTATTGTTAATGACATCAGTTCATAAGTTATTAGGTAATACATTCATTTCAAATCAAATGTTCTATACATGGAAGACAGTACTTCCACTCTTTAAATCCATGTTCTCTAGATGTTGTCATAGTTCTGATTTATTTATAGCACTTGAATTAAATATGTTATTGCCAATTAGTCCTGAATGATCCTTAAATACAACTGAAATATGGTTCTCATATACCCAACAACAATAACTATCATTCTCTCTCCTGACAGCCTCAAATTATTTGCTGCTGTGTCCCCTAGAGTCAGTACTGAACCACAGCAATGCTGTATAGGAGGATTTCCAAGACTGTAAACCTTTATAGGAGCAGAAACCCTCATCTTTCTCCTGCAGATCAGCTGGTGGGTTTGAACTGCTGAACCTTGTGGCTAGCAGACCACCGCATGACCCATTACACTACCAGAGCTCCTTCTCTAGTCAACTGGATTTCCATAAGTCATTGCAATGGCCATAGAGAACTCAGAAATAATACTCACAATGATGGGCTTTATTAAGGAAGTTAACAAGTTACAATTAAGGGTCAGAAGTGTTCCAGACACAGTTCTCCCAGTTTTCAGGACAGCTTCTCCTGCGGGTAGTGTTAGGGCTGCTAAAAAATGCTCATACACCACTCCACCATAAGCCTCAGTTGGAAGGCACTTGGCTTTAGTTCCATGGGTCAGCAAACCTGCTGTTGTTGTAAAGTGCTGCTGTTAAGTCACTGTTCCAACTCATAGTGACTCTATATAGGGTTTCCACGAACAACCAATAGTTTTGAACTGCCAACCTTGTGGTCTGTAGTCTAGTGCTAATCCTATTTTGGCGCCACACAAGGAGTCCATTTAAGAGTCTGAAGGCACCCTACTATGCAAGTAAGCCTCCTGCCTAAGGCACTCATCTTTACTTGTTCTGTGGGCTGGAAAGTCAGGTTTGGGAAAGGGATATGTGATCATGGGCAAGTTACTGCATATCATTAAGTACTACTTCTGTTAATTAAATGGGGCTATACACCTATGCTGCCGGATAATTACAAACATTAATAATGGGCCTGACATAGAGCAAGTCCTAAAAAATGGTGGTGGTGGTGGTTGTTATTACTATTATTCTTCTCTCCCAAATCCTTCAAGAACAGTAATTCTCAATTGAAAGCTAGTTTGCACCCAATGGGCATTTGGCAATGTCTGAGGCCATTTTTGTTAGTTACAACTGGGGCTATGGATGATCTTACGCACATGTACTAGGTAGAGGTCAGGGATGCTAATAAATAGTCATTCTAGTATGGCGCTATAGGATCAGCAGTTCAAACACACCAGCTGCTCCTCAGAAACCCTGTACAGGGTGGCTATGAGTCAGAAACAATTA